CTCGATTACAAGTCAACTAAGCAGTAGTGCCGTCTATAGTACAAAGCAATGGAATAATAGTACTATCTAAAGTTAAAGTATCGTTGAACATTAATTTAATCTTGATACGTTATTGTATGGGCCTAAGAGCAATTTACCTACTTTGGGCATGACATGTATCCCTCTAGTCTGGGAGTAGAGTGCATTTCTCCACCTTGTATTGTTACCTAAACAAAGAGAACACAATTTGATTTTAATTCTGCTCTCCCTGCATTATACCTGTAATGGGAGAATATTTGAAGGGAAAAAAATAAAAAGAATTGTCTTTTATGTATATCTTACATGAATTTAGAGTTTATGGAGGAACAGTATTGGTGGAACAGTAATAGTGTACAGTATTTTCTCAATTTAATGAACTAATTCGAGCCACCCCTGTCCGTTAAATAAAAATTTCCCGTGTAAAGTGAGAAACGCTTAAAGTGAACAACATAACATATGGGATTAATTGAAATAGAGACCGGGCCGACCCCCAAACTCCTCTTTTTCCCGACACAATACGTACGTTTTACTAAAAATAACATCTTAACTTTATGATGATATTCACACACACATAATATAGAAGGGAACAATCAATAAGAGAATAATAAACTGAAGGTTAGGTTAGAAAAAACAAGGTTGGGGTTAACACTTACGTTAGTAGAAGAGATGAGTCGGCGTAGGGGAATGGAGGCTGGTTCCGAGGCAGAGGGCAGGCTACTGGCCCTCAGGTGAGTCTTCATCGGTGTCATCCACACTTACTAGTGCCTCCCTGACAAATCCCTCAAAGTCATCATCACTGTCTCTGCCTCTGTCACTATCACTGGCTTGGGCTGGCAGTGGTGGGTTGCGGGCGAAGAACTCTGTTATGCTTATGTTGTCGTGATAAACCTTGATGTAGGGCTCCATAGTCTGCAACAGCTGGGTAGTGAAGATTTCATACCTGTTAGCGTCAGGGTCGTCGGAAAGGAGGAGGTTGACTTTCTCAATACACTCGATGGCACCCCTTACATTACTATAGGATAAGCGGCGTTCTTCTTGGGATGACGCACCACCTGCCTCTTCACTGACGTCATCATCATCTACAATCTCGTCGGTAGTCACATCAGGATCCCTTATCACCTCCAGGATGTCGTCGTTGGTGGTCTCGGAGAAGTCTGCAGCTGTAACACACTGCGCAGCTTCTCTGGCAAGGTCCACTGCTACTGCAACAGTCTGAACCTCACCAGTCACAGATTTACTCTGCCTAACACCCAGAATACCTTGCAACACATGTCTCCATGCATGACGAACAGTTGCTACAGACAGCTGATCCCATGCCCCCACCAAGAAGTCCACAGCTTTCTTGACGTTGAATGTTCTCCAGAATTGTTTCAAAAGTACTTCTTGCTCTGCCAACTGTTGATCCTCGTCGTCTTCGCTCTTGCTATCGGTGTTGGTGTCACTCAGGTTACGCAGCTCTTCCTTGGTGTTGGTGTAGTCGTTCAGGAGCTTGAATTTTTTAGCAGAGAATGCAGCTTTTACATTACAGATCAATTCTTGGTCCATGGGCTGTATTGGGAGGAAGGAAGACCACTTTTACGTTGGGGTGACGATCTAACAGTAGGGGCGAGTGTCCTGGTGCGTTGTCAAGCAGCAACAAAATCTTGAATGGCACATTCTGTTGCTCACAGAATTCCTTCATATCGGGAACAAAACAGCCATCAAACCAGGAGAGGGACAGAGTAGAGAACACCCACGCCTTTTGTGCGGTCAGCCAGTGGACATTTAGCTTGGTCATGTCCATGCTCTTGTAGGCTTGCGGCTTGCGTGCTGTGTGGATCACCGATAACTTGAGCTTATAGGTACCGGAGGCATTGGTGGTAAACAGGACGGTGATGCGCTCCTTCTGCAACTTCCGGCCCCGACACTTGCTGGCATTCTTCACAACGAAGGTCTTGGAAGGTAACTTTTCCCAGAAAAGACCAGATTCGTCCATGTTAAACACCTGGTCGTCGGTGTACTGTCCTTCCTCCATGTCACGTAAAAACGGAGGAAATTCCCTAGCCACGACACGGTCAGCACTAGCTTCTTCACCACCAATGTTGATATTGGTGATCTTGTTCCTCTTCTTAAACCTCTGTAACCACCCAGAGGAAGCATTAAAGGGTTTGGGCTCTGTAATTCCCATCTTTCGTGACACTGCAGCATACAGTTCACGTGCGTACTCCTTAACTGAGCACGTGTCCACTGCCATGTTCCTTCGCGCCTGACGCACCAAGTAGCTCACAAGTAATTTTTCCGTCTTGAGAAGCACCTGGTTGTGGAAATACTTGATCATAGAAGCACATGTAGACTTTGTGATGTTCATTTGCTCCTTTATCTTGGCTGCATCCTTCTTAATTGTCGTGATAGTTGATTCGTTAACACCATGCTGGCGTGCGAGATCAACCTGTCTTGTTCCTTTCTCCAACTTTTGTATGATCTTATATTTGATTTCGTAGCTTATGGAACGTCGTGTCTTCTTTGGCTTAGGGCGGCTGGGTCCAGGTAATGCAAGGTTTCTTTGTGGTGGTGGTCCGGTGGAAGCCATTCTTATGGAACAATGGATACCGATATACATGGTGTAGCCGGGAGGGGTGTAACTGACGCGGGTAGGTCAAGGGGCTTGAACGCTCACGCGGCGGGGCACGTCATAGTACATTAAACCAATCACAGCTAGCGGGGAGGGAGGTGAGGATGCTTTGCCCAATCACAGTCCGCTATGTCATATGACGTCACCGATAACGCAACAAAGACATAAACTGTGTAACCTACTCGCGCCGCTTACACAACATGGCGGATGGCGGGAGAGATGGCGGGAGGTTTGGATCCAAAAATGGCGTGGCGCGAGAGGACCGCCAGCCGCTTTCCGTGTAAAGGGGTACACACACTGCGGAAAGTGAGCATTCCGTGTTCGGCAGGGTACCGCGTAAATGTGGAAACACGTAAAGTGGGACCGCGTAAAGCGAGGGTTGACTGTATTTCACTAAATCAAACGTGATTCCGTTAAATTCCACCAAATGTGCCACACGTCACTTGGCGTGTTGGTTTTGTTTACATCCGTTCAGTCTGTGTCCTGCCGCCACCGTTTGTATTGATCACTGCTACCTCTCGATTTATGTAATTTGTTTACCACTGTGCCCTTCATCGTCTTCAAATTACTGTAGGCTAAAAGATATGGATTTCTCCTATACATATTTCTATCATACGCCTGGTAACGGGTGCGAGTGAGTCAAGTGACAACTAGTTGAGCGTCGTCTGCTCTGTTAACTCTTCTTGCTTTCTGTCATATTTCATTGGATTTACTGTTATTATTAGTGTTTACTGATATAATAGTGATAATAGTGATTAATCATGGCATTGTAGCCAGGTTAGACTCATCACTGTAACCACCAGGCGACTGAACCAAGCTATGGGGTGTTATGGTTGTTTTTGCTCAACCTCAGAATGCAACGCCTAGCTTTATACCTAGGTATGTTAATGCATAGCAATAACTCGCCAGGCCAACATACAGGCAATTAAAACATCTAATAATTACTTAATAAGTAATATTAGGAGGACACGTCGTTACCTGGCATTTAATTGCAATTCTTGAAACCCCCTCCTTCACCCCCCATCAAGCGCACTGCCACCGTCATCTTCTTGCCTGGCGATTCAGCTGTGAATACACAAAGAAGGCTCCATGAATTTGTTTTTTCAATCCGCGTTTTTGGCTAAATACAGTATACGTAACTTTCTTCGCTTATCTTTACTTAAATACATGCACACACCACCCTACATACGTATTGTGAAAAAAAGTAAACAAAATAATTGCCTAAGGCAAACATGTAAGGGGAATAATTACATTTCTTTGCACATGAGTTAGGTGGCTCAGTGAGGGTGGAGTGGGGGCAGTGAGCATTGCTAGGGAATTGGCATCCCAGCTGGACTTCGTTACTATGGTGAAACGGAGTGTGTGCAAATGGCGACTGTGTTAAACTTTCATTTGGCTTTTATATACTGATTTGTCAATACTGTAGTACATTATTTTTTGTTGGTAGTTTTATTTAATCCTCACATTTCCTGGTACTGTATATATTATTTTAAGAAAACTATGTCTGCAGAAGGAAAATACACACAATTTTTTTCCTAAATACTCCCTGCTAAAATGTGGGATGCATCTTATATGGTGTTTTTTATACAGTATAATTATTTATATTTTTTAAACATTTATTACATCCGCTGTACAGTAGGCTGAAGTAGGTTTTACTGTATCATGTGTCTGAGATGTCTCCATAGGTCTGTCTCCATAGGTGTGAGCATAATAATGGAATTAATTTCAATTTAGCGAACTAGTTCACTAAATTGAGCACAAAATAACGGAAAAATGCTTCCACTAAATCCAGAGTTCGTTATATCGGATTCCATTGAATCGAGAGTATACTGTACTTGCTTCGCCACTGTTTCATGGGTCCAATCCTTGGATTGGATGTTACATGGGTGTTGTTCTGTAATGACCTTACCAAACATCACTCATTTTATTCGAGTACTGTATTCCAGTTTCCTCCTGTACTAACACTGAACAATGAAAATCATAACAAGAAACAGACGGACTGCCCAAATGGATAATAAACCGACAAGTGGGGAAAATGATAAATGTATTATCATGTGTGGGGTCAGTTTTGTTGCAGTTCAAGCTGGTTGGGTACTGTCTTCTGTAGTGTGAATTGAGCTAGTCACTCATAATGTTAGTGCTTTGGAACTATTCTTGTTTGGGAGTTACTTCGTTTACAATTTTAGGAAATATAACATTTGTAAAATATTTATGCTAAAAGTTGAACATGCACCATTATAAATAGCTGTGTTTACTAGAGGAAACATGAATATGTTGGCTATCGAATACTGTAAGGTCTCTAGTAATTTTGCAGTTATTTATTACTCATTCATATCATGAACAGTATACAAATTTTATTGAAAATTTTCAGATAATCAGGATTTTAGAAAGTGGTGTAATAAATCAATATGCTGGAGGACTGTGTATAAGTGCCTTAACATTGTGTGTCCTTGAAATGCAAGATTCCATGGTCAAGAGCTTGCATAGGATTATACTTCATTTTACAAAAATTACTGCCACTGTACCTAAGTCTCAAGCAATGATGGAATTTCTTTCTAGTAAGTGAATTATTTTTTTTATTATCATTGATACTATTGAAGATAATATTTCTAAATATGCTAATGCATCTGGAATTTTGATTACAGTATAGTCTGGATTTAAGCGGTCAATTGAACCCGTGGAGGTCCGCGTAAAACGAGAAACGCGTAAACGAAATAACAGAACATATGGGATTAATTGAAATAGAGACTGGGCCGACCCCCAAACACCACTTTTTCTGACACAATACGTACGTTTTAGTAAAATAACTTAATTTTATGATGGTATGCACACACAATTAATATTTAAGAGAAATCTCAATAATATTAGGTTTTTTAACACTTACGTTTGTAGAAAAGATGGCTGGGCACACTGTACTGCGCACATCATTGTCACTCCTAAAAACCCCCTTTAATTCATATTAGGCTACATAACATTCAAATCCACCGCGCTTGTAGAATCTCAGAGAACGGGAAACATTGATAAAGGATAACTCACCTACTCAATGTTACTGAATCATGTGTTGTATTGTACCCAGGTACGGTTATATAATATTAATTGTATGTATTCATAGCATTAAGGAGAACTCGAGGTATCCATAAGATGATTGGGGAAGTCCAGTTGAGCCGGACTAGTGTACTGTAGGACTAAGTGTGGATCGTGATTTGAAGTTTATACGATTTACGTCTGTGAACGTGTAGCGAACACAACTTCAACAGATATCATATGAAAATATATGAGAACAATGATCTGGAAAAGGGATAAATGTATCAGATTTATGTGAGGTGTTGGGAGTGACCCAGAAACTATAAGTGAAAGGAAATATCTTGTATGCATCGGTGTAAACTGAATATACCTCGTACCCTCGGGTGACGTATACCCACGACATGTACAGTGATCAGAGAATCTTATGTCTGTGTTCAAATAGTGCAATGTGTGAGAGGAGGATCCCTAATTACAGTTTTAAGTGAAGTGGATATACCCACGCCATGAACATTTGGCTTTTGTTTTAAGGTAGTCTCCTTTGTACCCGCCTCGAGTGTGCCGCGTTGATATCACCCAATGAATTTACCCACGAACTAGCAAACCAGAACCTTACCTTAGTGTGTAATTTAGGATTAAAATATGTGTTTATAAGACATGAGGTTACAATATACAGGAAAGTGTTCATGTGAGAGCCGCAAGAAATAAAAGTAAAAATTAAAGATTAGAAACTGTAGGCCTACGCGATGAGGGGCGGCGGGGCACTGCCCTCAGTGTCCTCAACTCTACTATCACCTCAGGTCAGTGTCCTCCATCGGGCTACATCCTGCCCTAAAAAAGGCTTATATAGCAGTTATTACAGTTCAAAACTCTGCTTGATGCATAAAGTGAAATAGGGATGTGTTGGGGTGGGTGTTAACGGCCCATCACGCATTATTTCTCAGTGTTGGAGTGCCTTGCTGGGCTGCGGCCATTATCCCTGTGAGCGTCTCGCCATGTGAGGTGACTACTCCCAGCTATGCCAATCCACTGTGAGTCTGTGGATTCCCAGCATACCACCCCAAATGAGTAGGAATAAATAAGGAAACGCTTGAGAAACTCTGCGGTCGTCACTTGGAGCGACATAATACCAGGCGTAGAAACAATACTGGTATGTCTCTTGGTGTAGCCCTCGTTTCTACCCGCCGAGGGCGGTGTGCGAACGAGGTACCTGATATGTATACCAAGAAATTACATGGAGTCCCATACTTGCAGGTGTGGAGTGTAACAGGTGTGTTGAGATGGTGCTACAGGGAGGTGAGATGGTTCTACTATGTATGATAACCTACGGTGCTATATTCCATACAGGTGGAGCAGTCTGACGTGTTCAGGGGTAGTGTAAGGAGGAATGACTGAGGTAAGGAGGTCACGGATTGTTATGCAATAAGTATGTGGATGACACGCAATTAATGTAAGACGTCTGGTGCCGAGCAGGGTAACCAACATCTTTGTTGTTCTTCTGAGGAAGGCCAACTCACTTGTATTTTTTTATAGTTTGTTTTATAAGAAATAAATAAGTTAAGACATGTTATGGTTTCACCCTTCTTTCCCCTTATCGCTCTGGTCAATGAAAAACCTAACTCAATGCCTAGTCCACTCTGCCCGCTACCTAACGAGCTACATACTGCCCAGAGGTGGTCTGGTGGCAGCAACCCTTAGAAATTAAGAATAGAGTTAAGTTATTCCCCTTAGAATTAGTGACCCCCAGATCAAGCAGTATAACACAGGGATGGGGGGTTGGTTCCGAGGATGAGGGCAGATTATTGGCCCTCACCTGTATCACTTGTATCAATTGTATCACTATCCACCACAGAGGCTTGCAGGGCCTCTTTGTCAAACCCCTCAAAGTCCATTTAAGTCCATATCCTCACTATCATTATCACTATCACTGACTTGGGCCGGCTGTGGTGGATGGCGGGTGAAGAACTTGGTAATGTTTTGTTGACTGGGCAACCTTGTGCGCACCTTGCCTGTGCCGCTTCCCTGGTAAATGATGGAATGAACTGTGTAAATAAAAATTGTCGGTCTGGCAAGGTGCCGCGTAAATGACCAAAAGCGTAAACCAAATCCACGTAAATCGAGACTATACTGTACTATAAAGATAAAAATAAGAACAAATAAGTGTAGGAGTATATTGTATGTGTAAGATGAATGTTTATCTGGGAGAAGCTGGCAGGGGGGGGGGTAGCATGGGTGGGTGGCTCCCTCCCCCTCTCTCCCACAAGATTCCTTTAACACTTCTTCATGCAATTCCACCACAATTCTCATATAATTTAGGATCATTTGGTGCTAGGTTGATAAAATATTGTCCTAAAAGAGTCCACTTTCCTGAAAAAAGAATCCCACACTGAACATGAGTCATTTGTTTACAAAGAGCAAACAGCTGATTTGCTTACCTCACTGTCTGTATTCAACACTTAGTAAATTATTACAGTACAATTGTATATTTATCATCACTTAATAAATACTATTGCAGTGTATTTATTGCCACTTAATAAATACTACTGTAGTGTACAGTATTTATCATCACTTAATAAGTAATATTGTAGTGTAAAGTATTATGCAGCTGCATATACCCTGGTTTATTCATTAATCATTAATCTAAATACAAGTAGCCAAACTGAGTCATCATATAACACTCAAAGGTATTAAAACGTTTTTAAGAAGGTATCTTCGTATCAAATACTATTAAGTGTGTTATCGTGACCCCTGTTGTAAACTGGTCTACTGAAAGCTCACATGAACGTATCTGAGTAAACAACCTTTTGATACAGCTTATCCTTTTATTTTCAAGTCATATTACAAATTACATACAATATTGTATTTTTCTCTATAACTGAATGTTATGTTAATCATGATGAACCATAAACCATAAGAGGCCAATCATATGAGATTGTAATATTGAATCCGTAAATAAATAAACCTGATGAATATGACACCTGATCAGCCCCAGTCTGCTTACAGTGTTTTAGTTCTTAGTAGGCCTATAGCAAATCTGTTTAGATTACTGTACTGTACAGTATTCAGTAAGTGTTGTTCATTTCATCAGATTTTTTTTTAATCTTCCCCATTTTTAATTTTTTTGTAATTTTCTGGTGACCAGAGCATCTCAGAGTCCGAAAAAGTTAATTCTGATTTATTGAAGTCCTATTTATCGAGGTTTTACTGTATATTTCAATGATATTTATATTAATTTATTTATTTTTCAGCTGTTCTACACTTCCCCAAAGTATATTCAAACTTTGTGGCTGACCAATACATGGCAATCTTTGCAATTGCTATACCTTACACAAACCCAATTAAATTCAACCATTATATTGTGTCATTGGCTTACCACGTCATTGCCATGTGGTTCCTCAAATGTCGCTTGCCATTTCGAAGAGGAATTGTGAAGTTTATATCCAAGGTAAGAGAATGTGTAATTGTTTTTCCCCATTTAATGACCAAGTGTTTTCATATTTCTATTACAAATTTGGAGTGCTATTGTAACAGTATTGTGCAGTTTTAATTTGTTGTTTGATAAATAGGTGATTTTTACTCTGTGATCACATTGCGGAAAAATCTATGTATGGGCTATACATACAATAATTACAGTTCAAGATTCCCTTGCTGCCCAAATGATCACTATCCAAATGTTCTATACTTATACAGTGGTCCCTCGGTTAACGAACACAATTTGTTCCACAGAGTCGTTCGTTAACTGAATCCATTATTTCAATGGGATATTGGGTAACTGGTTCCAGCTCAAAGAAAAGTATGTACAAAGTATAAACAAAATGCAGTAAAGTACACTTACTTTGAGGTGTGTATGTAGAATGTTGCTGGTTGATGATGATGAGGATGGGAATTAGAAGTGGGGGTGGAGGAGAAGGGAGAAGAGAAGGAAGTGGGGATGGAGGAGAAATCGCATTTCCTTGGACCCATGCTTGATGCAGTAATTTCACAAATAAAATTTTAAGTTCACTAGGTGTAATTAAAGATTATTTTATTTAAATCAGCACTGCACTGTGCTATATATTATCAATATGTTAACTAAATTTCAGAATGACCAATAATTTTAATGTAAAAACGTAAAAATACTCTGTGATCAAGAGAGTGACAAACACGATGTTTCCTCCACTGTAAACAAAGTTAAACTGATGCTTTGGCGGGTGAGTTAAGCGGCTGATGGGCGCACAAAAAAGCGAGTTCCCTGTACTGCATATATTATCAATATGTTAACTAAATTTTAAAATGACTAATAATTTTAATATAAAAATGCAAAAATATTAAAGAGCACAACCTTCTTGATATTTACTCCACTGGAAACGAATGTAAACATAGAACCGAGTACTGTTTTGGCGGACTAGCCGATCAGCTGATGCGCACAACAAGACGTGTTTGTCGTAAGGATTTCGTTAATCGAAGTTTTGTTCGTTAACCGAATTGAAGATCCTTATGAGGCTAATTCGTTAACCGAAATTTCGTTAATTGAATCGTTTGTTAACCGAGGGACCACTGTACCTCATTTTTGCTTACCGAAGGTGAAGTTTGCTTATCTGAATGCTGGTCTGATCGAAAATTTAAATCATGCATAAGGCTCGGCCCGGGAGTCAGCTGGGGTGGCCATTTTGGCCCCAGATACATAAAATAATGTACGTTACCAACATTATATATGTTTTATATTTAGTTTATAATTTTTATTTAGATGTGCTATAATGTTTTGTTGTTCGTAAATTGAGGAAAAAGAATGGGAAGTTATTCAGCAGGGAACAAACTTAGCAAGGATCGAAGTATTTTTTTTTGCATATTCATAAACCCAGATAGCATGGTAATGTAAAAGGAACAGCACAAAAAACTCCTGTGGTGCTTGAAGCAGAAGGAAGAAGATTTTATAAGAAATGGTGACAGACATGCATGGGTTATACACAAGGGGAAAGTAGTGGAGGCAAGTGCACTTGTACAGAATCAGAAAACAGCGAGACATCCCCAACCACCCCACTTCCCACCTAGGTGGAGGCGAGTGACATGTAAACAATATTATCTATGACCATAACCCCTCAAATTAGGATGAGTGTAGTAAATGAGGCAACTGCTGAGAATGGAAGGAGACCAGACTCACTACCAATATAAGAGATATTACTGAGAACTATTTCTGGCATTAAAGTCATGTTTACTAATACTGAGCAGAGTTTTAAATTTTACTCAAGATGCATCAACCCGATATAGATTGAATTGAATTGAATTGAAACGGTTTATTTAGCCAGAAAAACACAGATACAGAGTGGATAATAATAACAATATTAACATGGCTGAGCCAGTTGAGAACCTGAGTTCTCTTTTAGGCACCTGACATATACTATATATTTATCTCAAGGAAGTATTATGTAACATTTAGTAACATCTGGAATAGTACAATAGCATGGTGGTAATAAGAACATCTCATTATGTTACCACGGTTATCACTTCAATGTTTATTTATTTTATTTATTTATTTTTATTTTTTTATTTTATTTTGTTATTTAAATTATAAGTATATAGTACATAAATTACAGTGGAATTGAAAAACATAAGTATAATGGGGAAGCAGTGCAACACGGGTTGTACAGTATTAAGGTTGAACTAGAGGACAGAGCCATCAGGATTATGTCTAGTTGGCAAATATATTTATTGCAATGGTAATTTCTTATTTATTTACATGATAATTTCCGCTAAAATGGTTTTGATGGTACAATAAAAGCAGGTGCTGTAAATAGAGTAGGTATTACAAGAAATATTAATACTTAGACAATAGATATTTTTTAAGAGATGATTTAAAGGAAGGGAGCATAGTCTTTGCTTGGATGGGTGGGGGTAAATTGTTCCACACCTTCACACCATGATATTTTATGGAGGTCTGGGATTAAGAGGAGTGCATGGGGGGGTGGTCTTAGTAGCTCTGGGTGCCTTAAGTTGTATCTCTGATTATTCTGGAACTGGAAATAATTATTGTCAAGCAAGTAATTGATAGATTTGTAAACAAAGAGGGCACAGCAGTAGGTGTTAATATCTTCGAATTCTAAAATTTTCATTTTGGCAAATTTTTCGTTTGTGTGATCTGTTTTTTTCAAGTAGGTCATTGTCAGTACAACTCTTTTGTGCAGTCACCAGGGATTGTGTTTTTGAAGAGCCAGAAGCCCCCATAGTGTGTGACAGTGTAACAGGTGTTGGTAAACAAGGTCATGATAGATTTCTTTCATTTCCTGTGAGAGTGAGTGACTGTTGAGTGTGATACATGATACCGCACTGTTTATTGACTTTACTGTGAATGGCTTGTATGTGATTTCTCCAGTTAAGTTTCTCATCAACAATAACTCCGAGGAATTTAGTACTTTGTTTGCGTTTGAGGACTGTATTACCAAGGTACAGGAGGTCCAGGTCTGGGGGTAAGTTTTTGCTTCTGTGAAAGATTATGTAGTGGGTTTTCTCAAGGTTTAAGGTCAGTTTAATATGTATTATCCAGGTCCTGACATTAGTCAATTCATTGTTCATGAGTTGCTGGCATAGAGATTACTATCGTCTGCAAATAAGTTGTATTTTATGAGTGTGCTGGCGTGGACTTTGTCGTTTATGTACAACAAAAACAGTCCTGGACCGAGAATGGAACCTTGGGGGATGCCACACAAGATTGGCGAGGAGTCAGATTGGTGATTATTATAGCAGACATACTGCATCCTGTTGGACAGATATGAGGTAAACCAATTGTGGGACAGGCCCCCTAACGCCGTAATGTTCAAGCATTGAAAGGAGGATGGTATAGTCGACAGTATCGAAGGCTTTAGAGAGGTCCAAGAATATACCGACTGTGAACCGACTGTCATCAAAGGAATTTAAGATTTTATTAATAAAGGATAGCAGAGCTCTCTCAGTCGACCTTCTAGCTCTAAATCCAAACTGGGAGTCTGTAAAGATGTTATTGGCATTGCAGAAGGAATTTAGTCTACTACATGCTAGCTTCTTCAGTATCTTACTCAAGGCTGGGAGGACTGATATGGGGCAGTAATTCTTGAAGAGACCTTTGTCCCCAGATTTTTTATATGTTGGGTGAACTTTAGGAATTTTCAGTTTATCCGGAAAGACACCACTAGTGAAGGAGTTACAACTGTGTAGAACAGGTAGTAATAAGTGGGCTTCTTTCTTAATGATGCTCATTGGTATATTGTCTTCGCCTGCTTCTGCATCTTTGGACATTTTTTTTATTGCCAGAAATTCATCTGCTGTGACGGGATAAGAACAGCTCATTTTGCTGTCTGGTTTGCAGGTAGGCTCTAAATTCCTCATTGTGATCAGGGATGCTCTCTGCAAGATTTTTGCCAACATTAATAAAATATTCATTGAAGTGGTTGGCAATGAGGGAGGGTACTGTTACAACTGAATCATTTATCATAAAAGCTGAGTGGGGGGCCAAAGGCTGAGTGTTTCTGTTCTGAATAGAATTTATGACATTCCAGGTTTTCTTACCGTCGCCTGATGCTGACTGGAGCTTATTTGTATAATATCTACGTCTGGCATTTCTAACTGCTTGAGTTACTCTATTTCTGATACTTCGGTAAGCATCACCGAAAGTTATGGGTCTTTTTGCAAATTTCCTTTGGAGTTTGTGTTTTTCCTTTATCATTATCTTAATTTTGCTTGTGATATAGGGTTTGGAAATGGATACAGTTTTCACTGACTTAGTCTTGAGCGGGAAGCATTTATCAAAGCAAGCATTGAAGGTGCAAGAGAAGTTGCAGCTGTTCACGTTAGGGTTGTCAGAGGCATAGACAAGATCCCAGTTACCATTCATTAAGTTGTTTTCAAAAAGGAGCATGTTGTCGGTGCAGTAGTCTGTGTTGTATTGAGACACTACTAGACCTTTCAGGTCATATGGCTGTTTTATACATGGCAAAAACTGGGAAGTGATTTGAGATATTGTTATAAAAAATTCCTCTTGCAAGATTGTTAGAAGTGTTGTTAGTCCAAATATGATCTGTCACAGGAGGTGACAGTTACTCTAGTGGGTTTGGTTATAGTGTTGAAGAAGAGCTTAGAATGACAGGTAGCAAGAAGGTCTAATATGGAGGTGTTGGTTTCTGATTTTAATAGATCAAGGTTGAAATCTCCTGTAATGTAGCAACGTTTCTTCTCTGAACTTATGATAGAGATAAGCTCTGAAAATGTATCAAGAAAATTTCTTACATTAGTGTGGGGTCTTCTGTAGATTACTCCTACGAGGATATTTCGTGTGTCGTTACGTAGTTCAGTGAAAACACACTCCATGTACTCCTCCTGAACCTTTAAATAATCTCTTACAGAAGTGTTATACTTGATATCAACACAGAGTTACACCACCACTGTGTCGTGACGTGTTGACAGTGTCTATTATAATTAGGAATGTTATACAAATGTTCAATATTGTCAGTGAAAACATCAAATTTGTGGGCAATAGAAGATAAACACTGATCTAAAAAGGTATCTAGATGAAGGGGAATACTGCTG